ACGCGCCGAAAAAGGTGGAAGGACACCCCTCTCAGCACGCGGCTCGGCTGCCCGACGCGCCCTTGCCCGCGTCCGCAGCGGCGTCGAGCCGGCGGCGGCGCTTCTCGCGCCAGTCCGCCTAAAGCACGGGTAGATCTCGGGTAGATCTCGGGTAGATCTCGGGTAGATCTCGGCGAATCTCAGCTACATCTCACGCCAGTCCACCAACAGCGCGCCCGCGGCCGATGCCCCCTCCCGCCCTCTCACACCAACCGGCAAGCCTCGGTCGCTCGACTCGGCTCCTCGCCGCATCCACCCCCCCCCCCACTACCGCCCGTCGACCCGCCTCTGCGGACCCATCTCTCCGTCTCTCTACCTGCCGCCTCGTCGTCGTCGTCCTGGCGGCGGCGTGGAGGCCGCGACGGCGAGCGGCTGCGGCGGCCGGCCTGCGTTGTGAGCAGGCCAGACTCGGGGTGTGAATACGAGTGGTGTGAATACGAGTGGTGTGAATACGAGTGGTGTGAATACGAGTGGTGTGAATGCGAGTGGTGTGAATGCGAGTGGTGTGAATGCGAGTGGTGTGAATGCGAGTGTCTGGCCGTGCACTCAGCGAGCCTCGCGTGTGTTACCGGAGCTGCGGAGACAGTGCGATACAGCCGAGCACGTGACCTCTCGAGCGCTGGCCCGATCCCCGCATCTACAGCCCCCGCGACTGGCGAGCGGCTGCGGCGGTGGCTCGCCGGCGCGCGGCGGCGGTCCTGCCGTGAGCGCGAGCGTGATCGCCGGTCTCTGCGAGGGCGGCTCCTCCGCCCCGAGTCTGAGTCGGAGTCCGACGACGAGGAGGAGGAGGAGGAGGAGGAGGAGGAGGAGTCGCCGCCCTTCTCCTCGGGCGGCAGCTTGGCGAGCTCGACTGTGCGCTGGTGGAGGAGCGGCTCGTCCACGGCGAGCCTGCAGGAGAGGACCCGAGAGGACCCGAGGTGACCAGAGGTGACCCGAGGGGACCCGAGGGGACCCGAGAGGACCCGAGGATACGGCTCCTCCACGGCGCGCCTCTCCGCGAGGCGCTTGGACATCTTCGGTCGCGACTTGACGACGCGCCGCCAGACAGAGTCGAAGGAGGAGCGAGGGCACAAGTTCTGCGTGACGGCGACGGTCACCTGTCGATCATTGGCGGCGGGTGCTTCGCTCGCTCGCGAGGGACCAGGCTCTGCGTGAGTTGCGGCGGCGTCACGTCGAGGTTGAGCACGCAGTGCCACCAGCCGCCCGGCACATACACCGTCTCGCCTGCAGGAGAGTACCCGAGAGTACCCGAGAGTACCCGAGAGTACCCTAGAGTACCCGAGAGGACCCGAGAGGACCCGAGAGGACCCGGCACGTACACCGTCTCTGCAGGCACGTCTCTCCCCGTCTCTCCCCGTCTCTCTCAATCTCTCCCCGTCTCTCCCCGTCTCTCTCCCCGTCTCTCTCCCCGTCTCTCCGTCTCTCCCCCCCCCCCGGCACGCACGCCGAGGGCTCCTCGGGGGGGGAGGGGCTCCTTCCAGTCCCGTGTGTACCACCGCCCGCACACAGTGGTGCGCGAAAGTGAGGGGCCCCGGTCCCTCTCGGCTGCCTCTCGGCTGCCTCTCGGCTACCTCTCTCGCCCGCGGTCTGCACGAGGGTGAGTGGGCGGTGGTCTGGGTCGGTCGCGGCGGCGAGCTTCGGGTAGACATTCGCCCACCACGCAACCGCCTCCCTGCCTAATGTTCAGTCTCCGACGGCCACTCCCTCGTCAACTCCCAGCCCCTCGCCCGCACACGCGACCGCCTCCCCGCCTCCGTGCAGCTTCGGCGTCGGCTGGACGACCTCCTTCGGCACGTGGGGCGGGAGGAGCGCCTGGAAAAGAAAGCCGCCGGCTCACGAGACAGGAAGCGGGTCCGGAGCGGCGCGGTGGAGCGGCAGGAGAGGACCCAAAGCTTGCGGCCCTGCAGCAGAGCGTTCCACGCCGACGTGCCGAGCGGGTCGATGTGGACGTACGAGCCGGAGCGAGCCGGGCCGAGCACAAACCAGCGATACGGAGGCCGCCGCCTCTCGCCCGCGTACCTAATCTCGGCTCCTCTCGCCTCCTCTCTCTCGCCCGCAGCCCTGCCAATGCAGCCCCCCGGCTCTGGCTCATGCCGGCCGCAGTCTTCCGCACATGGAGGGGCGCTTCTCGCCCGCGATACACCGGAGCAGGTCGCCGCAGGAGCACTGCGGCGGCTATATCTCCGCTGCCTCTCCGCTGCCTCTCCGCTGCCTCTCGGCTGCCTCTCCGCTGCCTCTCCGCTGCCTCTCCGCTGCCTCTCGGCTGCCTCTCCGCTGCCTCTCCGCTGCCTCTCGGCTGCCTCTCGGCTGCCTCTCCGCTGCCTCTCCGCTGCCTCTCGGCTGCCTCTCCGCTGCCTCTCCGCTGCCTCTCTGCGGCGCGTACCGGAAGAGGTCGTCTGCAAAGTAGTGCGGCGGCGCGTAGTCGCGACCGAGCCGTGAGGTGCCGCTCCGCTCGGCAAAGGAGGAGTCGAAGACGTAGAGGGGAGAGTCATCGCGGCTCGTCGCGAGGTAGCGCAGGTAGTACCTACTCTCGACACCACCTCATCGCCTCGCCCGCAGACCGACCCGGCGAGAGGCGCGGCGCGGGGCGGCGCTTGAGCTTGAGCCACACCGCGTACGAGTCGTCGTCCTCTCCGACCTTGAAGCGCTCGCCGCCATACTGCCGCAGCAGCTCGCCCAGCGACCACGCCCCGCCGCGGCCCTGCCTGTCGCCCGCCGCGCCCGCCGCCCAGCTTTCGGTCGCGCCGCGGATCACCACCGGCCGCCGCGGCTGCTCCCAGTCGCGCACGAACTCCTCGCGGCTGACCTCGCGCGTGTCGATGCGCGGCCCGTTGTCCGGGATCGCCTCGAGCTGCGCGGCGAGCGCCGTGTCGGAGGCGAACGAGGCCTTGCGCCAGTCCTCGGCGGTGCGGCGTGGGTAGATGAGCCGCTTCGCCTTCCCGATGCGGCGCTCGAAGCGCTCGGCCGGCTCCGCTAGCAGCTCGCGCCAGGCGGGGTCCTCCGTGGGGACCGAAGGGTCGACCGTTGCGTCGGATGGCGTTGGCATTGCGCAGTCTCCTCTCGGGCACGTCGGCGTGGCAGGACAGCTCAGGTGTATTCTTTTTCGATGTACTAGAGTGAGGCCCTCGACGGGCCCCGCCCCCAATGGGGCGGGGTTGAATGGGCTACAGGCTAGCCTGTAGCGCTGGCGTGGCGTTGACATGAGCACGAAGTTGCTAATGTGCGTAGACGAACAAAAAGTAGGTAGGGTTGAATTCGTCCACGTAAGGCTTGGGGAGTGCTTGGGGTGGCCTCAGGCATCCCCAAGGGAGTCGCAGCGGTGCCCCAAAAGCAGCTTTTAGCGATTGTCGAACCTCGAAGCGCGTTCGTTTGAAGAAAGGCACACGGTACTATCGCCTATCGGGCCACGGGCGTCGGGTCACCGGGAAACGAAAATTCGACACTTTGAGGGGTGAGAGCATAGCTAGAGTTAAGCCCTTGAAGGGCCCCGCCCCCAATGGGGGCGGGGTTGAATGGGCTGGCGCTGGCGTGGCGTTGACATGAGCACGAAGTTGCTAATGTGGGTAGACGAACAAAAAGTAGGGTTGAATTCGTCCACGTAAGGCTTGGCCTTGGGGACTGGTTGGGGTGGCCTCAGGCATCTCCAAGGGAGTCGCAGCGGTGCCCCATAAGCATCTTAGCGATTGTCGAACCTCGAAGTGCGTTCGTTTGAAGAAAGGCACACGGTACTATCGCCTATCGGGCCACCGGTGTCGGGTCACCAGTACTAAACAAAAATTCGACACTTTGAGGGGTGAGAGCATACAGTATTGTGGCATATCATGTCACATAAGGTCAAGCTTGACCGCAGAAGCATCAAGAAGCGGATACTCCAGCTCGACTGTGCCGGCAACGCTGCCTCCTCACGCCGGCTGGCTGCCAGCAGCCGTCGCGGCCCGTGGCGTGCACCCGAGAGGGAGAGAGGTCGAGTCCGCGTGGCTCAGGCCGGCCAGAAGGTGTGTGGCGACGGCACCGTGGCAGGAGTGCGGAGAAGAGCTCGCCGAACGCGAGCAGCGGAAGGCCGAAGTGTGCCAGCGCGAGAGCCTCGCGAACGGGTGCAGAAAAAGCTCGCCGTGACACGATGCCGGGCGGTGGTGGTGCTCTGGCGGCTGTGCACAGTGGGAAACGTCAGGCTGCAACAGGGCAGCACGATGGTCGTGCCCCGCTGCAGCCTGGCCTGACATGCACAGGGCGAACAGAGACGGTACTATCGCCTGGCGCTCGTCTGGGCCAACTTCGACCGCCGCCACAGCTCGCCACGAGCACGCAGCGACAAAATGATGACCGTGTCGAAGTTGAGGCTGGTCGAGAGAAAGAGGCTGCCATGCGAGCCGGCAACTGGCTGGCTCGGCGTGGACAGCCGGCGGCGACTTTTTGCCGAAGAGCGTGCCTGCCGAAGAGCGAGTCTGACTCAAAGTGCACGGAGTGGGCGCCGCCGACCGTCGGGAGGAGTCCGATGGGTGCCAGGACGATCCAGAGAGCGATGAAGGCGCAAATTGCGCCGCCGAAAGTGGCGGTAGAGGCCAGGCCGTGCGCGTGGGCCGGTCGGGCCACGTCCCGGGGCGAGCGATCGAGGGCCGCGGGGCTCGCCCCGTCGGCCGAGCGGTGCGAACGGCCGGTCGCCCGCTTCGGGTTGGACCCGCCGGGTGGTCCGGCGGCGGATTGCATGGCCGGGCGGGCCTCCGGGAGGCAGCCGGGGCTGCGACAGGGGCAGGGCAGAAAATCCCATTCGGAGAGCGTGTGGCGCGACCCGGTTGCTACTTTCAATGATAGGGACTAGAGTGAGGCCCTTGACGGGCCCCGCCCCCAATGGGGCGGGGTTGAATGGGCTAGCGCTGGCGTGGCGTTGACATGAGCACAAAGTTGCTAATGTGCGTAAGACGAACAAACACAGAGTAGGGTTGAAATCGTCCACGTAAGGCTTAGGGAGTGCTTGGGGTGGCCTCAGGCATCCCCAAGGGAGTCGCAGCGGTGCCCCGCCATAAGCAGCTTAGCGATTGTCGAACCTCGAAGCGCGTTCGTTTGAAGAAAGGCACACGGTACTATCGGGCCACCGGAGAGTCACCGGTAAACTTCGACACTTAGAGGGGTGAGAGCATGCATTATTGTGGCATATCATGTCACATAAGGTCGAGCTTGACCGCAGAAGCATCAAGAAGCGGATACTCCAACTCGACTGTGCCGGCAAACTGCCTCCTCACGCCGGCCGGCTGCCAGCAGCCGTCGCGGCCCGTGGCGTGCACCAGAGAGGGAGAGAGGTCGAGTCCGCATGGCTCAGGCCGGCCAGAAGGTGTGTGGCGACATCACCGTGGCAGGAGTGCGGAGAAGATCTCGCCGAACGCGAGCAGCGGAAGGCCGAAGTGTGCCAGCGCAAGAGCCTCGCGAACGGGTGCAGAAGGAGCTCGCCGTGACACGATGCCGGGCGGTGGCATATCATGTCACATAAGGTCGAGCTTGACCGCAGAAGCATCAAGAAGCGGATACTCCAGCTCGACTGTGCCGGCAAACTGCCTCCTCACGCCGGCCGGCTGCCAGCAGCCGTCGCGGCCCGTGGCGTGCTCCAGAGAGGGAGAGAGGTCGAGTCCGCATGGCTCAGGCCGGCCAGAAGGTGTGTGGCGACGGCACCGTGGCAGGAGTGCGGAGAAGAGCTCGCCGAACGCGAGCAGCGGAAGGCCGAAGTGTGCCAGCGCGAGAGCCTCGCGAACGGGTGCAGAAGGAGCTCGCCGTGACACGATGCCGGGCGGTGGTGGTGCTCTGGCGGCTGTGCACAGTGGGAAAGGTCAGGCTGCAACAGCGTAGCACGATGGTAGTGCCCCGCTGCAGCCTGGCCTGACATGCACAGGGCGAACAGAGACCTTGCTATCGCCTGGCGCTCGTCTGGGCAAACTTTGACCGCCGCCCGGCTCGCCACGAGCACGCAGCGACAAAATGATGACCGTGTCGAAGTTGAGGCTGGTCGAGAGGAAGAGGCTGCCGTGCGAGCCGGCAACTGGCTGGCTCGGCGTGAACGGCCGGCGGCGACTTTTTGCCGAAGAGCGTGCCTGCCGAAGAGCGAGTCTGACTCAAAGTGCACGGAGTGGGTGCCGCCGACCGTCGGGAAGAGTCCGATGGGTGCCAGGAGGATCCAGAGAGCGATGAAGGCGCAAATTGCGCCGCCGAAAGCGGCGGTAGAGGCCAGGACGTGCGCGTGGGCCGGTCGGGCCACGTCCCGGGGCGAGCGATCGAGGGCCGCGGGGCTCGCCCCGCCGGCCGAGCGGTGCGAACGGCCGGTCGCCCGCTTCGGGTTGGACCCGCCGGGCGGTCCGGCGGCGGATGGCACGGCCGGGCGGGCCCCGGGAGGCAGGCGGGGCCGCGACAGGCGGCAGGGCAGAAAATCCCATTCGCAGAGTGGTTGGACAGACCCGGTTGCTACTTTCAATATAGGGATTTTATATAGCTATGTAGCTCTTACGAACATACCCGTAGGTGAACTGCTGACAGGGTTTGCGATGAGGAGCGATCCGAACGTGGTATTCGGGTGATTAGATCACTACCGCCGAAGCGCAAGCGCTTGGAGCAAGGGAACTTTTTGCTACAGTTGTAGGGCGGGGGGCACTTCAACCTGCAAAAACCTGGCCGGTCCCTGCGGTGCCCCTACCTCCTACCTACCTACCTACCCTACTTATGGGAACTAAAAAAGAAATCAGAGGCTGGGTGAAGGTGGGGATACCAACTTAAAGTGATGGGTGGTGGTACTCTCCTGCAACCACAGTCCTTCCTGTCACCTGTGACATGGCAGGCCACTCTCAGGCCCTACAAGCATCAGACCACCCATTTGGGGACGTTTGACATCGTGATTTGGCCGGAAATTTTCTTTTTCTGCTGTGAAAATTCCGCGTGAAGAGAGGGAAAGCCCGACGGGAGGGCCCAGACCTACCCTACCTACCCCGTCATGAGTGCCGCCCACGCAAAAAGGAATACACCGGGACGAACCAAGAATTTTCGATGCCTGAGAGGCTGAGAGATTAGCACGCCCTTGGCGCGCCTGGTTTGGAGCACTTGGAGTGCAGTCATTAACCGCACATCCAGGGCCGGGGAGCTAAGAAGCCCACCCAGCGGGCCGGATGATTGGCATCGGGTTGCGGGCAAGAGAGCCCTAGCCCTGGGGGTGCGCGTTCGCAGGGAAAGGGCCGTAAAGTAAACACGGGTCTCCGAGGGTTAGTCCGCGCTCCGGGTTTCCCCTAGCAGCGGAGCGCCCCCTCTACTCGGACGGAGCTAGTAAACACCAGACAGACATGCACACGACGTACAGCACACGAACGACGTACCTCCCCACTCGACGTCTCCCCTCTGGGCTTCTCCGTTCGGCCTCCCCACCCTCGGTCCGGAGGGGGGGCCCTATCCTCTCGGTCCTCCCCCCCACTCGCTTTCCGCTGGTTGGGCAACGGATGCGGGGCCCGGCTCCCCCTCCCTCCTAGCCTTCTTCGGCCGCGGCCCCGCCGCCGTTTCGTCCCCCTGCCTCTGCCCCTGCCCCTGCCCCCGCAGCAGCTGCCCCTGCCCCCATGTCTTCCGAGGAAAAACAAGCCTATGCCTGGGGGATGCTGGGCACCGTTCTGACAGAGGTGGCGAAGGCGCATGGACTGGGACCCGAGGCATGGGAGTCGTGGGCCGAAAAAGCCTTTGCGGAGTATGAAGCCGGGAAACTCAGGGACTACGTGATGCAGGAAGCGGCAAAACTCGTAGAGGAGATGAAGAAAACTGCGGCGCCACCCGCCGAATGCTACACCTTGATTGAATCGGCAATTAAACACAAGATGTTCGACGCCGCGAAAGCAAGCGACTTGGACGCGTTCGACAGGGCCGTTGCAGCGGTCCGGGCCGACGATAAAGTATCGGACAAGATCAAACCTATCATTGCCGCTTGGAAGGACAAACAGCTTGGCAAGGGACTTTAGATGATTCGACCCCTGAAGAGGGCGGTAAGCCCAATTAATCTCAACTCACGTCCCTGACGGTTGCACGGGCTGCTGGCGGTGGTGGGTGCTGGCACAGCCGGCGTCGCGATCGGTGGCGCCGCCTTGGCGCAATTGGATCGCGGTCCAAACCAGGTGTCATGACCTGTTCTGTCTTTTGCATTTCGGAATCGACTAATGAGCCCCGCTCTCCCTGGTCGACGAGTCGCGCCCGCACCCGCGGCCTCTCTATCGTCCTCGGCTCGCCCCCCCCCCCTCCGCCGGCTCCTCTTCAGGCTCGGGGAGGCGTGGCCCTCCCTGTCGAAGATCACGGTGGTCCCCCACCGGCCCTGCCACTTCGCTGTTTTCGCACTTGGTTTGTCTTTCTTTCCAAAACTCCAAGTACTCCAAGTCACCAAGTGCTCGCACGACACTGGGCAGGCAGGGGAGGGCCGCAGGGCAGGGCGAGCACCCAGCACAAAGAATTTTGCGGTATACAGCACTAGGCACGGGCCTGGCGCGCACTGTAACAATAAAACGGCCGGTCGCACGTCCACGCCTCGAGAGCAAGAAGCTCCGCGCCGCCCCGCCCGGCGCTGCCCACCTGCCAACCGGCTGCACCCGCCGACAGCAGGCGCTCGCGCCGGGTGTGGCTGCTCGGCCCTGCGCCGCAGAGACCGCGCATGCGCACAAACACTGCTCACGCTCACTGGGGGAAGCGCTGCGGTCCCGGCTCCCTCGTACCGTACACGGGCTCCCCTAACGCGTCGAGCTAGCTCTCCGCCCCTCTTACTGTGCGTGTGCCGCTCCTCTACTTCGTCTGCCTATCGCACGCGTGGGGTGTGCTGCACAACGGTCCCGAGCGGACCTCCGTTCCTCTGTCGGTTGCACGTCCCCCAGAGCGCTCGCCCCGCCTCTTTCGCGCCGCCTCCCCTTGAGAGACATCGAATCACCGCCCTTCACGCACCCGCGGCCCATCCGAGGACATAGACCTGCGTCCGCGGAGGCGACACATCAAGTGAAGCGGACCGCCAGCTCGTGAGCGGCCACGGCTTAGCCATGCAAAACATGTCAGGGAAGGTGCGGTGGCGGCGGAGGCTGGGGCGGGGCGACACCTGCACGGGCACGAGGAGCAGCAACGCGCAGATCATCTGCGCTGCGCTCGACCTGGCGAGACGCTTCGCGCCCTGCCAGAACCACGTGCGCCACGGCCCCGCGTGCCGCCGCGCCGCCCTCCACGCCGCCGAGATCTCCCGCCACATCTCCCGGCTGGCGGCCACTGTGCCCGACGCGAGCCGCTGAGTTGCGCGCCAGGCGTGCCTCGCGAGCGGGGTCGGCTCGCCCCCGATGGCGGTGGAGTAGTCTCGCCGGCTTGAAATGGCGGGCTGCACCCCATGCGGCGTATGCTCCAGGTACGGCATCAGCACGAGCATCGTGTCCCGGGCCCGCCGCGCCGCGAGAGATGCGAGCCGCGCCGCCTCGAGGCAGCCCAGATTCAGGGTCGGCGCCAGCGCCTTGACTGCGGCGGAATAAGCCGCCCGCACCTCCGCTACGGAGGCTGCGGCGGACACGTTGAGGATGACCCACGGCAGGAGCTCCGTCCGGTCTGCAGCCTCGCAACTGCACGACAAGAGGCCGCAACCAGAGGCGACGCAGGCTCCGGCGACCACCTCGCGGTTGGCGCTGCACCGGCCGCTCCGCCAGTGGCAGTCAATGCTGTCCTGGAGCGTGGCGCACTGCGCCGCTCCGCTGGGCAGCGAGTCGCCCAGCTCAGAAAAGCTGAAACGATGGTCTCCCGACTCGGCCCACATCCTCGCCGCCGCGTCTGCATGCCGCCAGGAGGTGGTTTTGCCAGGGAAGCGGGTGGCGCCACCCTTGGCCCCGGCGGCGGGCGTGCAGGCCAGCAGCAGCAGCATGTCGATCCGGCGCGTCAACCGCGTCAACGGTGGCGTCCCCGGTCAGTGTCACCTGCTGTTCACATAAACGCACAACTCCGGACCCAAGACGCACAAGCACAGACAGTCGAGAAGGGGGAGAGACAGCAACGACAGTCAGAAGTCAGCGCTGGGTCCCAGGAAGGCGAATGCGATGACGGCCTCTAGTGTGAGCTCTAGCTAGTGAGCTCATACGCACGCCGGCAGATCGCGACTATATACAGCTAGTTAAGAGCCGACCGACCCTCGCGTCCGGTGCTCACCGACGGCCGGGCGGGCCGCCCGCCCACGCGCCGCCTACGCGCAGCGCGTGCGCCGCAAACTCGCCCGCCGACAGCGCTGGCCAGTCTCCATCGGCCGTCGCGAGAGGGACGACCGAAGAGGAAAAATGGTTACCGGCCCTGGATGTGAAGACGAAACACCAGTGGTAATCCCGTCGTCAGCTGTCACGATGCACCCGAAGGGGACCCCAGCGCCAGCGTCATCTGTGGAGGTACAAGTGTTCGAAGAGAGAGTGGACCTGAGCAACGACATGACTTGGCGGCAAATGATCGCAGTGAGTGGGCGTCAGAAGAGTCGTCCTTGCGCGAGGAGAGCTCGATAAACTCGAGGGGCCGAAATATGCCGCGAGGAGGGCAGAGTTGCGACGAAAGGCGAGAGAAGAAGCGAGAGCAAGGGATCGGCAGGCGGCGACGGCGTCGCAGAACGAGGCAGAGGAGAGCGACGCGACAGAGGATGAAGCGACAGGAGAGATAACGACGAGAGTGGGACGACCGCGAGGTGATTGCGAAGAGAGATAGGAAGAAGCAGACGCCCAAGGGTGGGCGACGGCTAGCGCACCACACCCCTCTCCTTAAAATCCAAGTGTGGTGGCGGCGTGCCGTCCGGCGACGGCGGCGAGCTGCTCCAACTTATGGAGAAACAAAAGCGCTTGCTCGAGCAGCCCCTTCTGCGACGGGTAAAACATGCGGTACTTGTCCAGCTGCGTCTGCAGGAAATCCTTGACGCCCGAGTTCATTTTGTAAATACTCCTATGGCGTTATTGAGAAGAAAGTTGCATCCAATGACCCCTGGACGTATCTTGAACACTCTGGCCTGGGCATCCAATGACCCCTGGACGTCCCCTGTAACTATTGATATTGATTATTGACAGCATCCCCTCTAACTATTGACAATATATTGACATATTGATCGCTGATTTGTCCCAGACATTGCTTAGATGTGGGCTGAAATCGAAAAAATCGCGAGTTCAAGGATGTCTGCAGTGATCTGTCGGCGGTCAGTACGACCGATCAGGTCGGAGTTTTCTGATGGTTTAGAGGGTCTATCTGTATGTACTCCTCGAGATCTCTCCAAATCTGCCCTCTAATCAACCGTAATCATTCGGGAAGTCGGTGCTCTGAGCGACTCTGAGCGCCGGAGCCCCGTTTCCGCACTGCGGCGCGGCGCACGGTGCCTCCGGGGGCCCCCGCCTCCCCCCAGAGTCCTGACCAGCCCAGGCCCAGCCTCTCCTCTATACATTGATATTGATCGCATCTCTAACTATTGGAGCAATATATTCAATATTTTGCGGGTGCCTTATCGAGGTAAGTGCAGGCCCCGGCGCCAGCAGCAGCGTTTACACACGTTAGTACTGTTGTGGAGCCCTCGCGCTGACGTACACAGGGCGAATGCGCGAGCGAACGGCGCCCTGTACAAGATAGTGCAAGTACACAAAATTTGCTACGAGGGGCAGGCTATACAATACTCGGACGAAGCGCGCCAGTCGCGCCACACCACGGCCCTAGTCTTTCGCAGCCTCGCGTCACACCGCCTTTTTGAAGGTGGGTGCGCTCGAGGGGAGGGCGTCCATTGCGCGCAGCCCCGCCCGTGAGGTTGCGTACGAGCGCACGCGGCCCTTCTTGAGGTCGTGCACCTCCGAGCGGTTGCCCTCGCCCAGCATGGAGAAGGCGCTCATCTTGACGGCAAAGCACTCCCCCGCATCGAAGCCCGCGACCGCCTGCATCTCCCCCATCAGCTCGACGCCGAAGAGAAAGTCGCGAAACTCGCCCGCAAAGTAGAGGGGCAGGCTGGGGACGGCCTTGAAGTCCGAGGGCGCGCCTCCCGCCGCGGCGCACGCCTCCTCGATGAGCGGCACGAGGCACTTAGTGTTGAGGTTGCCGAGCCTGCAGCACGGGGGCGGAGGAGGAAGGGGCGGAGGAGGGGTGGGGAGGGGTGGGGAGGGGCTGCAGCACCGCCGAAGACAGCTGACTCCGGCCGAACACGTGTCCTCTCAAGACCTGCTGGAGTACGAGGCGGTCCGTGGGCAGCATCTAGGCTACCGCGCCACAGGTATGCGAGCGACTTGTGCAGGGCCACGTCCATCAGGAACGGGTCGAGCCCGAGCTTGGGCGGCCGCAGCGGGTTTGGGCTAAAGGCCTTGACGGCGTCGAGCTTGGCTCGGGCAGCGTCCGTGTCGCGGATGTAGAAGAGCATCATGCACCAGTTGCCCGCCTGCAGGTCCCCCACCGCTCTCATCGCCATGAGCACGAGACTCGTGCATTCTCCCTGCACCCGCTGCGCGCCCAGTAGCGGTGGGAGATGTAGTAGCCGAGTCGGTCGGGCAGCACATTGCCCGCGGCGCAGGTGAGGCACTCGGCGCCCAGGTACACGAGTAGCAGCGGGCTCGCCTGGGGGTGAAGAGGATGTGAGCGTCTGCCCACACACATACAGCGGCGGGAGGCCCACTCAAAAGTGGGACTCTTTGACTGTGGCTCCCTCAAAGCGTGGCTCCTCAAGCGGTCGCCTGCGAGTAACCTCGGGTGATCTCGGGTAATCAAGCGTGGCTCCTCAAGCGGTCGCCTGCGAGAGGCCCGCCCAGTCGAAGCCGAGGGTCTCGATGCGCCAGAAGAGGAGCGGCACGCACAAGCCGAAGCAGAGGTTCCAAGAGTACACGTCGAACGGCGCCTTATCGCAGAGGGAGGCGTGCAGAGGCCGACGCAGGGTGCGAGGAGAGTAGACGCATCGAGCGGCGCCGGCATCGCCAGGATGTAGGCGTGCATCGCGCCGAGAGAAGCCATCCCGAAGGCGACCGCACCTACTCGCGGCTCATCATATCTCGCGGCTCATCTCGCATCTCGGCGCATCTCGGCGCATCTCGGCGCATCTCGGATCATCTTTGCCGTCCGAGGGCAGCAGCAGCGCGAGCGGAGCCAAGTACCTACGAGAAGCGGGCAGAGACCGCTCAGAGAAGCGTCCATTTTGGCCAGACCCCGGCCCTGCTCCACGCGCTCGACGGCCGCTGCAGCGTGCGCCACGGCCTGCCCGAACCTGGTCGGGGAGATTACCCGAGATTGCCCGAGATCACCCGAGATCACCCGAGATTACGTGCACGACGGCCAGCCCTAACCTGGTCGGGGAGAGGTGGAAAGGAGAGCGGACGAGCAAGCCGGCGAGCCAGCGCCGCGCGGGCGCGAGGAGCATCGACTGCAGCATGAAGGGGCCTACTCTCTGCTCAGCTCTCGGAGACTCTCTGCGACTCTCGCGAAAGGCATCGACCGCCGCAGGGAGGGGCGGCCGTTGACGTACTCGAACCAGGGCCCGATCTGAGGCGAGGCAAGGTACGGGTGGTGCACAGGTCTCCTCGAGCACAGGAGTGGGTTTGTCCGTGGCCCACGCCTTGCCCACGCCAGAGAAGAACCACTGCAGCAGCAGCGCGGTCTGCATGCCCGCGAGGCGGCCTAAGGTCACGCCAGCCCAGGTCACGCCAGCCCAGGTCATGCCAGCCCAGGTCACGCCAGGCCCAGGTCAGGCGTGCTCTCTCTCGCTGTTGAGGTCTCGGCCCGGCAGCCCGACGAGGCGACTCGGCGTCTGGAGTGCAAGGCCCGGGTGCGAGTGCGGGTGCGCGGGCGCGCCTCGCTCGGCGGGAAAGCATGCAGACAGCAGCACGGAGTAGTATGTGTGGCCGTTTGCGGCGTAGAACTGGGTCGAGTCGGAAAGGAAGTGGAACGCGTCGCAGCCGCAGATGAGCCAGAGGGCCTGGCGGGAGGGGTGCTGCTTGCTTCTGTGCAGCTCTGACTACTACCGCTAGCCGGAACGCGTCGCAGCCGCAGATGAGCCAGAGGGCCTGGTGGGAGGGGTGCTGCTTGCTTCTGTGCAGCTCTGACTACTACCGCTAGCCGGAGGGCCTCGGTGCGGTACTCGCGAGAGGCGAGAAAGGCAAAGATGCCCACGTAGAACAGGAGGTGCGAGAGCAGGTCGACAGCCGTGCGCCGCGTACCGAGGACGGCCACCTTAGCCAGCTTGACGGTGCCGAGGCTGAGCCGGTACATCAGATTGCATGGCGGTCCGAGATGCCCGTAAATTGGACCTTGGCGGCAGCCGAGCGACTCGGCAAAGTGCTGCCAGACGATCAGCTTTACAAAGCCGTGCAACAGTGGCTGTTTGTGCGTGCTCGGGCCCACTGCGAGCAGAGTCAGCGCAAAGCAGCCGTAGTTAATCAGGAGGAGGGTGAAGTGCCAAATGTAGACGACTGCCGGACGCCTGAGTCCGTGGAGCATGATGTCGATGGCGCAGCGGTCGAGCCGCTCGGCAAGCGGCATCGCGCTCCACTGAGTGCTCGTCACCCCTTCCATGTCGCGAGGAGTCGCCATTTGGCGTTGTCGTGAGAGCACGTGGGCTCTATTTCGATGGCGTGGACCGGCACAAGGCGTTGTTGTCCGTACAACTGTACCAAAAAAGGATTTTGCTGAGGTGAATTCTGTCAAGGTTTTTGCTCGCCTTCCTGGGACCCCGTGTTGCATGTCACTATTTCGGGGCCCGGGGTTGTGCGTTTACGTGAATTCCGGCCGTGCGCCCACGTTTCTGCGCACAACAAGAAGCTGTTGCAGAAGAAGCTGCTACAGCAGGGCGTGGGCAATGTGGCGGAGCTGCTCGTCGCGATCCAGGGCGGCACGAGCGCGACGGCCCTCGGCTTCTCGCCCGCCGCGCTCGCGCTGTGCGAGCGCGTGCTGCCCGACGAGACGCTGCGCAGCGCAGAGGCCGCAACAGCAGCTCTCGCAGCTGCCTTTGCCGCGCTCTCCGTCGCCGGCCCGCCTGGGCCTGCGGCTGGCGCGCAGGCGGGCGGCGCGGCCGCCGCTGGCGGGCGCGGCCTCGGCGCCGCGCGCGGCGGCGGGGCCTACAGCTCCGACGAAGAGGAGGCAGCAGCTGCTGCTGCTTCCCTCTCTCTAGGTAGGTAGGTAGAAAGGTGAAGAACAGCCAGGCTCGGACTGGACACCAACGTCTCTCTGCGGGCGGCGGCCTTTGCGCGTGAAGAATTCTTCTGAAAAACGGCGTTTTGGCCGAGGGGGGGGGCCTACATTCATTGAGAAGTCTCGTCATTCGGTGCCTCTCGAAGACTCACCTTTGATTGTCACCACCTAACAGGCGTCGCCTTTGCTGTGTCGCGTCCTCCGCGTAGCCAGCCAACCATCCACATCCACCAGCACTCACCCTCCTCACCTCGCGTCGGTGTTACTTGACCCCACTCTCTCGCCGCGCATCGTTTTCCTAGAGACGATGCGGAGGCGACGCTCAACTCACGCCTACATTTGCCCTGCTGCAGACTCGTGCGTCGAATGGCGTGCAACGAACGCCTTGCGAACGGCGCGGAAGGATACGTCGGACTCCCCAACGTCCCGTACTCCCAGTGCGAGGAGTGGTGCAAAGCCGGCACCGCCCTGGTGCGAGCGATTGCGACTCTACCAGACCCTCCCCACGCTCGCCGGGCCGAATCGCCCTCGCCGCAGCCACCCGATCTCGCCGCTCCGTCCCCCTCAGGGCATCACCGACCTCGACGTCTGCTCCATCGCGTGGAACAACCCGGTCCCGTGGCGCAAGATCGCGGGCGACTTCGGCGAGGGCGCCATCATGGACGAGTGGGCGGGGTACGTGCTCGTGCTCGGCTTCGGCGTCTTCTTCTCCATCGTCACCACCATCATGGTCAAGCTCGAGCAGATCTACGGCGGCCTCGTCATCTCGTCCGAGCACTTCAACACGGCCGGTCGTAATATCAAGACCGGTCTGACCGCCGCGGTGCGCCACCCCAACCCCACCACCCTTTAGGGCACGAGCGGTCGGGCTGACGTCCCCTACCCCCTTCCCTCAGGTCATCGTCTCCCAGTGGACGTGGGCCGCCACCCTCCTCCAGTCGTCGAACGTCGCCTCCAAGTACGGCCTCTCCGGCCCCTTCTGGTACGCGGCGGGCGCCACCGTGCAGATCCTCCTCTTCGGGATCCTCGCCATCGAGATCAAGAAGAAGGCGCCCAACATGCACACCTTCCTGGAGATGATCGACGTGCGCTGGGGCAAGCTGGCACACCTGACCTTCCTCTTCTTTGCCATCTGCACCAACCTCATCGTCACGGGCATGCTGCTCCAGGGCGGCGCCGCCGTCGTCAACGCCGCCTCGGGCATGCACATCGTCGCGGCCAACTTCCTCATTCCCGTCGGCGTGATCCTCTACACGTGGTTCGGCGGCCTCAAGGCCACCTTCCTCGCCTCCTACATCCACACCTCGGTCATCATGATCTGCCTCGTCGTCTTCATCACGTGCGCCACCCCCCCCCCCCACACACACACACCACCACCACACACCACCACCACCACTCCCCGCCCGAATTCCCCCCTCCCCCAGCCGCCCCGCCCCGCCCCGGCGCCGCCCACGCCCAACCCCCTCGCCATCCCCACCCGCAGGTACGTCTACGCCGTGCCGGGCGACATCGAGTGCACGTCCGCAACGGAGAAGCAGTGCAACGCGCTCGGCTCGGCGGCGCTGCTGTGGGAGCGGCTCCGCTTCCTCAACTACCTCCCTGCCAAGACCGCGGGGATGACGTTCCCAGATGGCGCCTACGTGCCGACCGCGGACGATCCGGGACCGGGCAACTTTGAGAAACTCACGTACACCGAGAAGGACTACCACCACGGCCCCGTCAACGGCAACCGCGGCGGCTCGTACCTCACCATGCTCTCCGAGGACGGCCTCAGCTTCGGCGTCGTCAACATCGTCGGCAACTTCGGCACCGTCTTCGTCGACCAGTCCTACTGGCAGTCCGCCATCGCCGCGCGCCCCTCGTCTGCGCACCGTGGCTACCTGCTCGGAGGCCTCGTCTGGTTCACCATCCCCATGTCGCTCGCCACCGCGCTCGGCCTCTCGTCGCTCGCGCTCAACGTCAAGATGCCCGCCGACGAGGCCGCCGACGGCCTCGCGCCGCCCGCCGCCGCCATCGTCCTGCTCGGCCAGGGCGGCGGCATCATGATCATCATCATGCTCTTCATGGCGCGCGCTTCGACCCATCCACGTCCCCCCTTCCCCCTTCGCCCTTCCCCACACCGCCCCCCCTCGCCGCGCAGGCCATCACCTCGACCGGCTCCGCCGAGTGCATCGCCGTCGCCTCCCTCTTCGCGTACGACATCTACCGCAAGTACATCAACCCCGAGTGCACCGGCGCCCAGCTGCTCAAGGTGTCGCGCCTTGTCGTCGTCGGCTACGGCATCGTCTGCGGCCTCTTCGGCTACTTCCTCTACGGCGTGGGCGTCGGCCTCGGCTGGGTCTACAACTTTATGGGCAACCCCGCCGCCCCCACCGCTATCCAGTCAGACAGCCCACCCTGCATCCCGCGCCCTCTCGCCCGCTCACCCGTCGCTCACCCGGGCTGTGCCGCACGGACACGCGCTCAGGCACCATGATCGGCTCCGCCGTCATCCCCGTCTCGTGCTGCATCTGCACGCGCTACATGACCAAGAACGGCGCCATCGCGGGCGCGTGGGGCGGCATGATCCTCGCCCTCGTCTCGTGGATGTCGGTCGCCGCCTCGCGCTGCACCAACGGCGACGACCCCGACGACCTCGCAGAGGGAGTGGACTGCGATACGGGTGCGACGCGACCACTCCCCACCGCCACGCGGCCGCCACGCCGCCACGCCGCCAGCTTGTCGAGCTCACTCCCCTCTGTGCGTCGTCCGCAGGCAAGCTCAACGTCGACACCCTCGGCAACATCAACGCGCAGACCGCCGGCTCCGTCGTCGCGCTCTGCGTCTCGGGCATCATCGCCTTCCTCGTCGCGAGCATCGAGTACAAGATGGGCACGGAGCAGCCCTTCGAGTGGGAGAAAATGCGCGAGGGCATCAAGCGCGTCGAGCAGGCGAAACCGCACCCTCCCCCCCCCCCCTTCCCGCCTCCCCAAAACTTCGCCTCCCGCGCGGCGCCCATTCATCCCCGCCCCGCCCCGGGCAGAACGTGGCAGAGGCCCCTCAGTAGGGCCCCCCCTCACACGACACCCCTCCTCCCGCCGCGCCTTCCCCTCCGCAGGAGGCGGACGACGTCCCCGAGTACGAGATGACCTCCGAGTACCTCGACCCGGCCGCAAAGTACGTCTTCAAGTATGGCGTCGGCTACTCGGTCTTCCTCATCTTCGTCTGGCCGCTCGCCGTCATCGCGTGGGGCGTCTTCGACAAGGCCAACTACACGCTCTGGGCCTCGGTCGCCTTCTGCTGGGGCTACATCGCCTCGGGCTTCATTGTCGTGCTTCCCATCTACGAGTCGTGGGGCTCGATCTCCAACGTGCTGACGTGCAAGAAGGCCACGCCGGCGACGAAGGAGCAGGCTTGAGCCGCGCCCGGCGGCTCGAGAGCCTCCCCCCACTTCCCCCTACCCTCCGTTCCCCCGCGCCCGACGACCCCGGCGAGAATGGCGGCGCGAGGGCAAGCGCGCGCACCCACAAGCCGCCTCCTCGAGGGCTCGAGTAGAGGCGGCACGTGGGTGTGCGAGGCGCGCTGGCCTCTGGCCGGAGTGACAGGAGAGCGCGGGGCGTGCACATGCCATGAGGGGGAGGGAGGCGCGGAGGCTCGTGTGTACACTTGTGGACTGAGTAGTTGCTCGGGGCTTGCCTGTCGCGGGAAGCCGGGGTCAAGGGCGTGGCGCACCCGCACCGGGACTGGACTGTCACGTGTCAGTGCGGAGGTGGGGGTGTCCGCTGTCTGGCGTCTGCGCGCCGCAGGCGCAACCTCTGAGCGGGGGAAATATAATAGTCGCGACCGAAATAAAAAGCGACCCAAAAAGAAAACAGAAACCCCAATCCCCAAACGAGGGATGCACCGGGATAGGAGGAGGACAGGCACAGGGTCCCCACCTGCACGAGCAGGATTTTCATTTTGCTTTTTGGAAGGACGATCAGGGGCACAGGGACAGGCGCTCACAGGCACATACAGTAGCCATAGCGGGTCAGGCTCAGGGCTGTGGGCTCAGGGGGCTCTCCTCACTCCTGCACCTACCTGGTACCTGCTCCTGGCAAGACGGACAGCGACAGGCTCGCAGCGCGGTGCTCGGTCGTCGGTGGACTCCTAACTCCACTGGGGTCTCATCTCAGTCGAGCGACCTGCCTCCAGCTTTCTCGCTGGCAGTCTCTCACTACCACAGGTAGGTAGGACGGCACGCTATGAGCGACACACAGACACACAAACTCACAAGACACTCAGCCAGCTGGGCTGCCACACATCCCGAGTGAGCGTACGGCACTACGCCACTCAGGCCACGTCCCCCCTCCCTCGCCCCCCCCCAGCAACCACCCACGGTACCACAGGCACACTGACAGGGGCTAGGTTAGGTTAGGTTAGGTAGGAAGGTGAAGAACAGCCAATCGTCCGCGCTGCGTTCGCATCGGGTGCGGCGCCGCCTCCCGGCAGGTTGCGCGCGTGCTCGCGGTGCCACGGCGAGGGCGGGCTGTACACGCGGGGAAAGCGGCGCTCAGGTGGCGCCGCGGCCGTGATCCGCCGGCCGTGCGCGAACTGCGGCGGCATCGGGCTCGTCGATGGAATGCTGCCTCCGCCGCGACATGAACCGGGGCCCCGGGACCGTGCGTTTGTCGGCACCGTAGCCATTGCTGGCGGCGGCATCGGCGGCGCCGCAGCGGCGCTGGCGCTGCAGCAGCGCGGTCGTGTATGAGCGCGACTCAAACTTTGACCAGCGCGCGCAGGGTTACGGCCTCACGATGCAGCAGGGGGCGACTGCGCTGGCGCAACTCGGCCTGCCCAATGAGGGCGTCTTCTCGTATGCCCACTCCTCCTTCCTACCGGACGGAACGCTCCTCGGGGAGTATGGGCGGGGCGTGCACGAGAGCACGCGCGAGCGGATGGGCAACGGGAGAGGGAAGGCTCAGCGGCGCAACGCCCACATCCCGCGGCAGGCTCTGCGGGCGGCGCTTCTCGACCCGCTCCTGCCGGGGACGGTGCGGTGGGGCAAGGCAATCGCTCGCTTTGACGCCGGCGACTCGGGCGTCATCCTGCACTTTGAGGACGGCTCGCCACCCGAGCGCGCCGCGCTCCTCGTCGGCGCCGACGGGATCCGGTCGCGAGTGCGCGAGCAGCTGCTCGGCGCGTCACCGCTCGAGTACCTCGGCGTCGTCGTTGTGCTCGGGCGCTCGCGCACGTCTCACGCTGCGGCGAGCGAGCGAGTCTTTCAGACCCTCGACGGCGACACGCGCCTGTACGTGATGCCGTTCGAGGCCGGCGTTGCGATGTGGCAGCTCTCCTTCCGACTGGGCGAGGCGGAGGCGCGGGCGATTCAGACCCTAGACGGCGCATCGCTCCGCGCCCTCGCCCTACGCCGGTGCGGAAGCTGGCACGAGCCGAGTCTGCACCCGCGCGGCACTCCCTGCGCCCTTCAACGAGCCTCCCAGGGGCCTCTCCGTAGGCACGAGCCGATCCCGCAGCTGCTGCAAGACACCGCGGCCGCGGACATCACCGGCTATCCAGCCTACGACCGGCCTTGCCCCGCCGCCCTCCGACAGCCCACCTCTGCCGGCGAGGCGCTCGGAGGGCTGGGTGGTGAGGCGGGTGGCGAGGTGCCGCCACCGACGCTTGCCACGGAGACACGGGTGCGCGCGCCGGTCGCGGGCGGCGGTGGCGGTCTCACCCTCATCCCCGGTCCCTCGACGCTCCGCTGCCAGGTCACCCTACTCGGAGACGCAGCGCACCCGATGTCGCCGTTCAAGGGGCAAGGGGCTAACCAGGCCCCACGTGCCGGGCGTCGCCGACATCGAACGGCGTCGATGCACCCCTCCCTTGTGCGAACAGGCCCTCCTCGACGGGATCGCCCTCGCCCGCGCCCTTCGCTCCCACGAGCTTCGCGGTGTCGTGCGGCGTTGCGGCCGCGCCAGCGGAGGTTCCCACTCAGGTCACGCGCTCTCTCTCTCAAGCGACGCGCGGCGCTTTCCATGTTCGAGGCAGACATGCTCGAGCGGGCGCGCCGCAAAGTGCGTGCGTCGCGCGACGCGGCGGAGCTGCTGCACTCGCCCGAGGCGATGGCAAAGTCGAATTCGACGCGCGCGCGGTCGGCGAGGGACAAGCGGCAGCTCGAATCCACTACAGCAGCAGGAGAGGGGCGGGGGGCGGTATAGCTTGATTGCTTTTGGCCCCCCCGCTACCCGGTTGCACTCGTGCGACGTAGCTCGTAGGGGGGGGCACAACTACGTTCACGAAAACATAAAAAGAAAGAAAGGCGCCGTAAAAGAGGCGGAAAACAGACACTAGAGACAACCCAAGCGGCAAGGGGCACCGCGGGCAAGCCCCCAGAACGCAGCTCTAAACGCGAGAGGTCGGAGCACGGCACGATGAGAGAAGCTGATTGGCGATTTGATAGAGCTCTAACTGCACTCCAAGATGGCCGCTTCTCAAGCTTCAGTTCCTCCATCGCCGAGGCTGGAGGACTATGAGATTGGACCGCTCCTCGGACGAGGCGCTTGCGGCGAGGTCCGGCTCGCCTCGCGGCGGCCGGACGCGGCAGCGAGTTGCGGCGCGGTGCAGCGGTGCGCCGTCAAGGTGATACCGCAAGGCAAGCCTTCATCTGCACGGGACGTCATGTGTGAGGTGGAGATGCTTCGGCGGTGCTCGCACCCTCACATCCTGCGGCTTCTCTCTGTCTGCGAGGACGGGCCCAACCTTTGCCTGCTCCTCGAGTTTTGCGCGGGTCCGGACCTGCAGCGGCTGCTCGACCTGCGTGGTGCGCTCCTTGAGGATGAGGCGAAGCGGATCTTTTCGCAGGTCTGCGCCGCACTCTGCCACCTCCGCGAGCGGCGCATCGTCCATCGCGACGTCAAGCCGGCCAACGTAGCGCTCAAAGCTGCACTGCCCGACGACCGCAGCTCGTCGCTCTCGCGCTGCATCACAAAACTGCTCGACTTTGGCTTCGCTCGCGTGATCGATGTCGCGGTGGCCTCCCCCAGGGCGAGGAGGTGGGGCAAGCGGCGCGGCGACCGCTCCGTGCACGGAATCGATTCCGGGTCAAAGCACGGCGGCTCCAACTACGGCGGCTCGAAGCACGGCGGCTCCAACTATGGCGGCTCGAAGCACGGCGGATCCGAGTGCGGATCCACGCACGGCGGCGAGACGACGGTGGAGCTCGAGATGGACGGCTCGCTCGTGTTTGACGGCAGCACGCACTCGGCCGCGTGGCGGGGAGATTCCCCGAGATTACCCGAGATTACCCGAGATTGCCCGAGATTAGGCAGCACGCACTCGGCCGCGTGGCGGGGAGATTCCCCGAGATTCCCCGAGATTACCCGAGATTGCCCGAGATTAGGCAGCACGCACTCGGCCGCGTGGCGGCGCACAACCTACTTGCCGAGGAGCGCGCCGAGCAGCCCGACGGGGCACCGCACCGTCGGCGAGGTGAGGATGACGCCGCTCGGGACGCGCCACTGGGCGGAGCCGCGGCTGCAGGCGGCGGGCCTGGGCGGCGGCGTCGGCGCGGACGGGCGGCTCGTCATGAGCCTCGACGAGGTGGGCCGTCTCCCTCCCCGAGATCATATCTCCCCCATATCTCCCTCATATCTCGTCCTACACGCGAGGAGGCACAGGCCGAGATCATATCTCCCCCATATCTCCCTCATATCTCGATGAGGTGGGCCGTTTCCCTCCCCGCCTGGCCCAGCTGCCCTGGCGCGAGGCGGGACCCGCACCGTGCGGGCTGTAGGCGCTCCAGCTCGACACCTTCTCCCTCTCGCGGCTGCTGCGCTACATGCTCACAGGCGCGGTGGGGAGGCGAGGCGGACCGGAGATCAAGGGAGCCGGAGCTGCGCCGCGCCCCCGCTGGTAGGCGCGCCGCCCAACCAGACCATCATGGAGGCGCTCGAGGCGCAGGGCATGGCGGGCTGCGGCTGTGCGGCCGCCCTGGTCGGCAGGCGGCCGCCGGCGAGGCGCGTGGTGCGCGAGCTGAGCGAGGTGAGCCCCGAGGCGCGGGAGGTGCTCGGCGCCCTGTCCCGCGGGGCGGCCGAGCGCGCCTCCGTCTTCGAGGCGTGCCGACACCGCTGGATTGCGGACGAGAGCGTGCACGGGCGCGCGCGGGGGTATACGAGCGACGAAGGAGCGGAGAAGTAGCAGAGCTTGGGTGCGATGGCGGTGGCTCCTACTCCCGTCCGTGCCCAGTGCTCTGAAGCGCCAGAGAGACTTGATCGACACATCGCCGCCGCCGTCACCGGGCTCATCGGCTTCCGAGTCGCTTCCTCAAGCGACTGTGCGAATGGCCTGCGAATGGCAATCGATCCGGGTGCTGGACGCCCCTCCATGAGCAACTCAGTTAGAGATACTGCAACTCAGTTAGAGATACTAATAGAGACACTAATTTATTCACAGCTGCGGCGAGCATGTGCGGTGTGACCCTCGAGCCAACCCGACCGACCCCCCCCTCGGTCTGCGCTCCGACCGACCGGACCGCCCCTCCGGTCTGCGGTCTTCCGCGGCCGCCGACCGGACCCCCCCTGTGGTCGGTCGGTCTGCGCTGGGCGCTCAAACCGCGAAGTCGGCTCTGGGCCGGCGCGGGGCCCCCCGGAGGCACCGTGCGCCGCGCCGCAGTGCGGAAACGGGGCTCCGGCTCTCAGAGTCTCTCAGAGCACCGACTTCCCGAATGATCACGGTTGATCAGAGGGCAGATTTGGAGAGATCTCGAGGAGTACATACAGATAGACCCTCCAATCATCAGAAAACTCCAACCTGATCGGTCGTACTGACCGCCGACAGATCACTCCAGACAGCAGACAGGCCGACGTCTGCACGCGGCCGGCCGGGCGAGAGGCTTGACACGATCCGACCCTGCGACCCTGACGCTGCTGCTCTAGCCATCAGCCATGCACTGCTGACTGCTGCCACAATGTGCGACCTGTGCTGGCCCACTTGGCGGCCTTCCCGGTCAGTGGTGAGGCGCAGTTCAGAGCTGTCGATGGCGCGATGCCGCACTGGTCCCACATTGGTGACACGAGACCACCAAGTTTGCCGGTCCAAGAGAGAGGCACCGGCGCTGTCCTGAGAAGGTGCGTGGTCCCTCTTGACTGCCCATGCGCGCGAGGCTGTGTAGGCATAGCCTCGAGAGTGCCAGCAGCCAATCCGAGGTGACGCGCATTGCGCCAGAAGCGTGCACACGATGGAAGGACACCTTCCTACTGGCCGTACGATCAGGTCGTCACTGAATGCTTGATACTAAGGCCGCGAGCTATGCAGGTGATCAATTGTGCATCATGGCACGGTCAGCTGCGCCGACAGGCTGTCGCAAGGCGTGATAGCATGGCCGCCGAATTCCCATGAAAACAAGTAAAAAATCGCGAAAAAATCGCGAAAAAAGAAAAAATCCCGAAAAAATCGGCGCCTGCGGCGGGCCGTGGGACCCCATCTCCCCCCCGCATGGACACCCTCTGGGGCCCCCGCGCCGGCCCAGAGGAAGTCGGCCTGTTCACTACAAGATGACGCTCATATTAAGGAGGCTGCCCTCGCTCGTCTCAGGAATGTGGCGGTGTCTTTTGAGTCCGGCGCCTCCCGTTCAACTCTTGCTGTCGCCCTCGCTGTGTGTTTGTCGAGCTTCCGCATGAAGTGACGCGCCTCTTCCTTATTTCCAGCGCAGCTGCCGCTCAGTATGTGCGCCAACGACGCCTGTGGTGGCTCACTGTCTTCTTGTTTCCAGTCGTCCCAGTCTCTCAGTTCCCCGCGTCTCCTCCTTGCCTCGCGCGCCTCTTTTCTGGCATGTCCGAAGGCACATGCCAGTTGAATTCTTCATTTTAGCGCCAGTGCCGCTCGAAACTCGCTCCCGTCCCTAGTGTCTATCTGTAGGAGTGACTTCAAGAAGTCACTTAGTGACTTCTCGAAGTCACTCGCCCCCGCGCGCACAGTACGTGCTCTAGCGGCCGGCCCGTGCACCGTGCGAGCCCCCGCGGACTCGGCCCCAGTCGGGCCGCGACGGGAGAGGCTCTTAGAGCAGCTTGGCGGCGTTCACTTGGAGCACTTGCAATGAAATTGTTTTCTCCTTCCTCGAGACGATTGCTGTGTACGCTGGAGCGCTCGTCCCCGCGGGCAAGAGGCGATATACGGCGCTGCCTCCGCACCGCTACGCGATGACACAAGCGACGCAATCCCGGCGACATGCAGGCACCCAATGCTGTGCCGGAGGCTGACTGGTCGAGGCAAGCGACCTCGTCGTGGCTCTTCCACGCGCCGCCGCTTCTCGTGTGGACAGCTGGTTCGGCTCGGACGCAGTGGACAAGAGGACCACCACATTCGCTGGCACACCGCGGCCGACGCTGTCTGCGCTCCCACGCAAGCGCCGGTATCCAAATCGAATGCATGCGTTACTGCGCTTACTGCGCGCCGCCGCCTACCTCAGACTCTCAATACCAATGCGCACGCTCCGGCATCGACTACATTGGTCTGCGCGAATTCGAGGCGCCGTGCGACGTTTGAGGCGGACAGCCCTAGGCGACACGGCGTCTGTGCTCGTGTTGATTGTGCTCGTGTTCAAGCAAGAAGCATCAGTGCGGGTACATGCGGTCCTACCACTGCACACAGTGCTTCCCGGACCCGAGCCAGGTTGGCTACGCGATCTGCAGCCCTGTCGGGACAAAAGCTGGCGACCCTCACCGGCTTTGCCAAGCACCTGCTCGAAGAGGAGCCGTCGCATCGGGCACAGCAGCGCCCCCCCGCCGCGACGCGGCGATCGTCCATCGCCGTACCGGCGACCTGAGCCTGCGCCTGCGCCGGCAGCGGCGGCGCCGGCCGCCGCGGCGCCGGCAGCCGCAGTGCCCCGTGCGCGCCGCCGCATCATCTAGAGGTGAGACGGGGTGAGTGGCGAGTGTGCGGCGGCCGGAGGGCGCGTCAGACGACCGCGAGGGCGGCCCACATGCGGAGTGACTTTTAGAAGTCACCCCGTTTCGGGCGTCTCACCGGCGTACTTGAGGTGCTTCAGACGGACGCAGGGCTGTCGGCAAGGTGGGTGAGTGTCTAGGGGTCATCTCTAGGCTGGTTAGCCTTGATTTTGATCAAAGATCGGCGCAAGAAACGGTCGCGATGCCTCGTGTGAACGCTTGGAAGAGTGACTTCTCGAAGTCACTCGGTCCTACGGAGAGACACTAGCTGCGCAACCCTGAGCCGAGCTCCAGTTTGCTCAATGCCGCAGCACACCCTCTTCATCGCCGGCCCACGCCGCGCGCCCGCGGTGAGCGAGGCTGTCCGCGGATTGGCCGGCGCGCGCTCGGCAGACGACTGGCGCGTCGCCTTTGCGTGCGGCGAGGCCAGCGCTGCAGCGTGGCAGCCGGCGAGCGAGTGGCCGGCCGAGGCTGCGTCGTCGGCGGGGGTGGATGCGCGGGGTATGATCGCGAGGATCGCGCGCCTCCTCCAGCTCGTCCCCGCCGGCTCCTCGCTCGTGGTGAGGTGGGCCTTCGAGGGCGACGCGCCGACCGACGAGGCGCTCGGGTTGGGCGTGCACGCGGCGGTCAGCTTCTCCGAGGGCCTGGGCATCAAGGACTGCCGCACGCTGGTAGTCGAGTGGCTCGACGACGGCCGCGCCGCGGACTCGGCCGCGCTCGACGTGTGGGCCGACGTGCTGCGCGCGCGGAGGGTGGCAGTCGCTGCAGACGCACCCGAAGAGGAGGCGCCGGCGCAGTGTCACGCACCCGGCCGCCGCCCGCGTCGCACGGTCTCTGACGCGGCTCCCGCTCCCCCCTCTCCTCCTCGCCGCAGGCCGCCCGGCTGATCTCGGGCGCGCCTCCGGACGGCTCCGCCCTGGGCGAGGGTTGCGTAGAGGCGCCAGGGCGAGGGCCAGGGAGAGGGTCGCGCAGAGGCGGAGGAGGCGCGGCCGCGCAGAGCCCGGTCGCGCCGCGGGCTGGTTCGGTTGCCGCCGCCGCCGCTTCAACGAGCAGCTCGTCCGGCGCACCAGGGCAGGCGCCAGGGCAGGCATCAGGGCTCGCCCTCGCTGCCGGTAGCGAGGGCGGCTTGCAGCACGGCGGAGGGAGCAGCGACGGGCGAGGGGCAAGCCCTCGCTCCCGGCTGCGCCGCGCCGGCAGCAAGGAGCGGCCGCAGGAGCGGCAGGCGGCGGCGGGCGCCTCGCAGCCGCAAGCCGCCGCCGCCGCCGCCGCCGCCGCGCCCGCGCCGGGCGGGCGCACGGGCGCGGGGCCGTGCTTGCAGCGGGGGCAGAGCCTGGTCCGCGGCCAGAGCCTCGTGCAGGGCTGCGGCGGGACGAGGGGCGAGGCATGCCCAGGACACGTCCAGGACACGTCCGAGACACGCCCCTTCGGCGGCGGCGGGACGAGGGGCCAGGCGGCGGCGCGGAGAGGCGGGGAAGGGGGAGGGGTGGGTTGGATCAAATTCCAATACTTGTTTCTGGTAGGCCTTCTATTTTTCTATTTTTTTATTCTAATCTCTCTTTTCTACTCCTTTTCGTAGC